GTTTGTAAGATTGCAAGTTCGAATATGAAAGTGGAAAGAAATGCTATTTTATGTCATACTTCTACTAAGTTATGCCTACCATCTTTATTTTAAAGTGTTATTCGAATAAAAAGATTACTAATACATTATATCATAAATACAGGATGATGATTCCCTTTAAAAGAAGTGTATGATTAAATTAATTTAGTTATAGAATTTTTTAGATCGAAGTCTAGTATAACTTTCAACTCGAACAAATTTAATAGTACTTCAAATTTAATTTTATATCTAATGGATTTGTAAAATTAGCGTAGCTCAATCAACTTTTGACATAATTAGATTGTTTTGAATAATTTATTTCTCAACTATTTTTTTTTTTTAAAAAAAAATTGCATAATAAAGCTTCCAATATTTAATTTTGTATTTAATAAAATTTTAAAATTTTCATTTTAAAATTATAAAAGAGAGTTTGGTCGCTTAAAATTTCAACCTGATTTGGAGGTGGAGAGCTATGAGATTTAACCTTTATGGAAGGAAACTATAAGCTTAACCCTTTTATGTTATGGTCACGAATTATGAATTGACAAAACCACAACTCCCTACGACTCCCTACCTACACAAAAGGAAAAGGCGTCATTTAGGAAAAGGCATGAGCAAAGCATAAGTGAGTATGGCCCCCCAACATTGTCAAGTAAAGCAATCAATGGGATGGGCTATGGGCTCCCTATAGGGTGCACAAGAAATCTTCACAAGCTCAATCAACGATCCACCTTTATTCGAAAGCATTGATCTTAGTTTTCAATGTTAAATAAAAGGCACACGCAACAAATCATTATCAGAAATCATTGTAGGGGACTGTTCACCCAAAATAAAATAAAAAGAGCAGAAAAGGTATCATAATATCGCCAGGGGTAGGGAACTCAGAATGAATATTATGTCAAAATCTCAAGCTGTGCTGTTATCTCTCTTCCAAAACACTTTACCTGGGTAGATGGCTTTATAAAAAGATCAAAAAGGAGGTGGCTTAGACTCAAAGCCAGCAAGGAATCCCAACCCCTTCACGAAAAGGACCCCCCACGACATCACATCACTTCCTTCATCCCAAAAGCCTCTTTGCATTTCTTTAATTTTACATCAAAAGGATGCAACACAATAAACCCAGCACCACATTTTGCAAATCCCATGAAAAAATGGCTGCGACTGCTTCTGTTGCCATTGGAACTCGAGGAACCATTGGTTCACTCATCAAGAAGGAAATTGATTATTTTGCCAAGATTGAGCTTGAAAGATGCAGCAGCAGCAGCAGCTCACAAAGGCCTCAAGCACCTGACATGCCTACTTCTGGCTGCAGCAGTTCGCCACCCACTTTCTGGCACTCCGTAATGTCGTGGCGAAGGAAGAAGAAGCGCAGCAGAAGTCGATTTGTCCCGAAAATTTGCTCATCGGCTTTTGATGTTTCTGAAAGCAATCAGATGAATAAGATTTCCAGGATCAATTACACGATCCTTCAGAATAATTTCCACAGCTAAAACATGCAGATGATGTTCCATAATCTTCAGCTACCAAGCATCTGCTTAAATGCGAGTTGTTCAATGTAGCATCTCCTATAACGGATCCAATTCCGACAAGCCAGAGAAAGAAGGAACCAATCAGCTGTTTCATCCGTCAAGGTAATTCAGTTTTGGAGAAAATTTTCAATTCTTCTCAGGGATACTTTGTTGTTTGTTCCTGCAATTGTATGGACGGCCTGCATCCCTTAACAAGTTTCTTCTTGCAGGTCCATGAGAGAGAGAAGAGAAGGGCAAGAAACAGTTCTCCTGGAAAATATTAGTTCTTCAATATTGTGGTCTTCACTACTCTTTCCTGTCACCCCAATCCACCATAGATTCAAGATTTCTTGATTTCATTTGACTTTCTATGCCTTCTCCATCCAATTGTCTTACAGAATTTCAGTTGCCATTTATTTGTTTTAGGTTGGTGGTGCAGGTAGCAGTTAGCACCAGCATCACCTGTACTTCACTTGAAATGCATATTCAAAATGTACACATGAATAAGCAAATACAATTGTAACTCAGTCCAGGTAAGACAATTGCATAAAAATCCAAAATCACTGTGAAAACATGCACAAAAAACCGAAGCATTTTATCTGGCACTTGCTTCCTATCCAAATAAACTATGGCAGGCAGGGAGAGTTGAATATAACAGGAAAGATATGACTAAATCTGAAGACAAAATTGCTATTTTTATTGACACACAATTGCTTTAAAACAACCTTGTTTCCACCGATGCATCAATTACTAACCTAACAGGAAGAGCCACCACCATATTTCAAGAATAAAATGTTCGGCATAGCCTCTCAGAAGTGGACCTGACTGCTAGCCTACAATTTATTGAACCTGCAAAACATAAGCAGAGGGTGATGAGCTGAAGCCAAGAAAAATGCCGCGTCCTCTAGTATTTCCCTGAACACTCGCTTGGTATTGATGGCTGCAAAAGTATCCCAGAATTTCCTCACTAAGGTAATCCAGCTTCAATTTCATTCCACTTTTCAACATTCTTTGAGAACCTCTCCTTGATTTGCCCAATAAGTTGCTTTGCCTCGTCGACCTTTGAAATGCTAACTAATCCATCAACAAGAGACTTCATCGTAGTGATATTTGGAACCCACCCCTTCTCCATGCTTTCGCCACAGATCTTGAAAGCAGCATCATAATCTCCTCCTCGACAAAGGAAATAAACCAAAGTGAAATAGCAATCACTGTCAGGTTGGCAACCGCTGTTGATCATTCTCTTAAAAAGATTCTTAGCTTCATCCAGATTTCCTTCCTTACAGAATCCATGAATCAACTCACAGTATGTAACAGAGTTCGGTTTCATACCTCTCGACAACATCCCATCAAATAAAGCCTTCGCCTCTGATGATTTCTTCAATTTACAAAGACTCAGTATTCTTGCATTATATGTACTAACTCCACGCCGCACACCATATTTTCCCATCAAATTTATGACTTTCTCAACATCCTCATACTTCTCTTCCTTGTAGCACCCAGCAAGCCAGTTCGCAAAAGTAGTCGCATTTGGTTTGACATCCTTCCTGTCCATTTCCGCCACAATCGAATACACTGCACTCGAGGAACCCAACTCCGAGAACGCCTTGATTACTCTGTTATAAGTATCGAGATCTGGTTCGATTCCATAAATCTTAGGAAACTCAATAAAAACCCGCTTCAGTTCCTTGTAGTCCTTAGCTACATTACAAGCAAATAGCAATGCATTAAGCGATTTAACCGAATGACGCACACCCAGTTCATCAATTTGCTTGAAAGTGCGAATAGCATGATCGAGCATATTGGCCTGGCCATAGAGAATAATAGCGTGGCAAGCAAAACGCTCGTTTTTCAAGTCGGGACGAGACTTCAATTCCTCGAGGAACAGGCGAATCCCATCGAAGTGTTTGGACTCTGAAAGCTTAGAAATAGCAACAGAGAAAGCGATGCGATCAAGATGTGATTCTGGAGTGAGAGTAGCGGCTCGGCAAATATCGATTATACGCTCAGGATTGTCCTCAACTTTCAGTAGGGACAATGCGGCCCTCGATTTCTGTTTAGCCGACAAAGGATTAGTGGAATCAGGGGAAAGGATTGTCGATAGACAACGGTAGTGAAGACGATGGTTGATGTAAGTCGAATTCGAAGGGAACACATTGCGGAGGCGATAAAGAAGCGCCATAGCTTGAGATTGATTAGCAGAGAGAGAGATAGAGGGTTAAAGGTCTAGGGTTTTAAGAAGAGCTAGAAGACGAAGGCGGGCTTCCCGATCACGTGCAGGTGTGAAACAGGGAAATTAGTGAGCCCTTTAATCTTTGCCGTCGTTCGATTTGAGAACGGAAAAGTATGACAATTGAACGGCAGGGATTGAGAGCCAACTGAAAGTACTATATTACCCACAAAAACCCTTCAAATTGAAAAATAAATAAAAAAGGAGAGAGAATGAACTTCATGTGAATCGAACGCGCAACCTTCTGATTTGGAATCAGACGCGCGACCACTGCGCCACGGATCCTTCAATTGCAAATGGTCGGTAGAAAATATAAAATAAATGTTTACAAAAACCTTCAAATTCAAAAGAAATAAGAAGAAAAGGATTGAACCCGACGTGAATCGAACACGCAACCTTCTGATCTGGAGTCAGACGCGCTACCATTGCGCCACGGATCCTTTGTTGATTATCATCGTGAATAAAATATAATTATAAAAATACTTTCAAAATGTTGAGAAATTCTAAAAGTTTTAAAATTAGTTCAGCTATATTTAGATTAGCATTAATTGATTGAATAAAAATAATAATAACCAATAACATTTAAATTTATTTTATTTTTAAAGGAAAAGCTTTTTTAGATACAAAATAATAAGAAGAATAAAAGAAAAACAAATCCAAATATAACAATAGTAGTAATAATACTTAAAAAGGATTAATATTTATTGGGCCAAAAATTATTATTTCTTTTATTATTACGAGTGATAGTAGAAACAACATAATATTAAAAAGCTAAAATAAACTACAATTAAAGTGAAAATAAATTCAAGTTCAATCTAATCTCGAGCGGATCAAACTCTAGGTTAACTCAACCTTTCAGTTAGGTCCAATCTAGAGTTACAAAGTTGTGTTCATTCGTTCATGAAGCTCTAGGTCAATTAACTTTGGTCAACTTAACCTTCAAACCAAGTCTAACTCGCACTACTAAAGTCAAGTTCGTGCTATTTTAAACATTATTTACAAAATTTTAAATTTAGCCTCTTCTAATACTAAATAATTTCCTATTTTAAACATTTATTTTGTAATTTTAAATTAAATTATCATTAGAGATAATACGTGTGGGTCCCAATTATAATTTTGTATCTAATTTAATATTTGTAAAAAAGATAATCCAACTGGGCACCAGAAATACAAAAAAGAAAAAGACAAGAAATAAAAGCACGGATTATATAATTTATGTGGAGGGAAACATAAGTAGAATTGTTCTTTTCTATGGCCTTTCCTGAATTATGAATTGATTACTTTGGAAAGACCGACCAAATCAAACAACAATCCCTCTTCTTCTTTGCTCTCTCTCCTCGCCGGCGTTGTGGTGGCTGTCTCGCCGGCGTTCGCTTAGCCGTGTCAATTCATCGGAACTTTGGTTCTCTGAATCTACGGTGGAGAGGAAGGGCGATAGTGATTAGTGAGAAAGTTTCCTCATTAATTGGGGAAAAATGGCGAGACTGCAGCTGAACTTGACGACGGCCATGGAGATGGGCGTTACGGCATCCAGCTGGTGGAATGACATCAACGAATCTACTTTTTGGCAGGATCGGATTTTCTACTCTCTCTGTGCTGTATACGCGATAGTCTCCGCCGTTGCTTTGGTATCTCTCTCCTGCTTCCGTATCTCATCCATCTAAACTATCTGCTATGCTGTGTTCGAGAGCTCGTTATTGTTATGGTTTTGAACTGTGTGTGTGTGTGTGTGTTTTTTTTCCCTTTTTAGCTGATTGGTAGGGTTGAGTGCGTTCCAGTTTTCTAGAATTTCTCCTTGTACCAACGGACGGGCGCCAATGGTTATGGTTATGGTTTATTTAATGGAACTCTAGGAGAATGAGAATTTCATATTCCTGCAAGTACAATTCGTGTTTCCATTATTAATTCATAACTTTCCGGGTTTTGAATGCAAATCTCCAAGTTGTGTTTCCATTATTAATTCAGAGCTTCTTTAAGCTTTCAAGAGGAAAATAGAGCTGTAGAGTACGAATTTTGGTTTAGATTTTGGGGATCCGGAACTTAGTTTGTGTACGTGCTTGCAGATTCAATTGATTAGGATCGAACTGAGAGTTCCTGAATATGGTTGGACAACACAGAAGGTTTTCCATCTAATGAACTTCATCGTCAATGGAGGTAATATAAAGATTATTGTTCGCTTTATTCTCAATGGAGGCACTTAAGGCTTTGATTGATAGTTTCAATTCTTACTCCGTGATTCAGTACGCGCAATTGTGTTTGGGCTCCACAAGCAAGTGTTTATTTTGCAACCAAAAGTAAGTTTACTTGAGCAGTATCTGAACCTTTGATATCATTTATGATAATTTTCCTGTGCAATATCTGTATCTCAAATATTATTTGGGATTTGCATGGACTCAAATTTTCAGTTCTTATTTTTTTCACAGAAGGGAAACAGACATTTGCAAATGTTATTTAGCCTACTTGTCGCAAAGCTGTTTTACGAGATAAAATATTGCATTAGCTTGCTTGAATATTGAAGATGATGAAAACCTATATAAGAGATTACTTAATCGTATTGGTGTGTCTTTTGTGGAAGATTTTCTTACAAATGTTCTACAAATTTTGGAACTCTGGCAATTATTATAGGTTACTTTGAACTACTCCCTATCATTTATGGCCTGTGCTTTTGGTTGTTCTTGAGACACTCGAGAGTTATTCCCAAGTGAACAGCCATTTTGTAAACAATTCAACACAAAATAATTTTCAAAACTAACATTTTTTTAACAACACTTCCAAATGGCATCTTCGTTTCTCTTTTCTTTTTTTTATCGAACTTTCATAATATGATAGTTGTTCATAGTCCTATCTCCTCTTAAATTCTTTAAATGTGCCATGAATACTAAACCTTTTTACTTAAGTATGTCAACTAATTCTGATTCAGGTTCTACTGTTGTTATTATTGGAACTTCCTGGTCTTCTTTTTTTCTCAACGTACACACTCCTAGTCCTCTTCTGGGCAGAGATATACCACCAGGCAAGTTTTGTGTATTGTTTTGCTATCTATTTTCTTGCTTGCAATCAAGGCTGTCTTCCCTTTTTAGTGGCTGAGATTGTTGAAATATCATCACTATGCCAATAGAGTCAAGCCCAATAATTGTACGAGCCCATTATATATTTATTTTAGTAGAGATTTTAGGAGAGATACCTAGAGGTTTTAGGAGAGATACCTAGAGGTTTTAGGAGAGATACCTATAGATTTTAGGAGAAAGAGATCAAGATATTTTAGGAAAAAAATTAGGTTTAGATTTAGATTTGTTAGGTGTAGATTGCTTAGGCTCTAGTATAAATACCCCTCCACCCTACCTAGGTTATTTATTCAAGAAATCCAAAAACAACAAAAAGTATTTTACAGAGTGTCTTGTAATTCTCTTCTCGATTGGTCTTAATAAAGAGTACTGAGTGTTTACCACAGAGAGTTTGTTCAACAAAGCTGTCGTTGATATTGCCATCATTTGGGGCACAATGAAGATTGCTGATTTTTCATTGATTGTTTTGTTGAACAGGCAAGAAGTCTGCCAACAGATAAACTACGAACAGTGTACATTTCAGTCAACAGTGTGATATATCTTATACAGGTACACCACTTACTCTTAGCTACCCTTGTTTGGAATTCAAAAAGTAGCCAATTCATACTTTAAAATCTTTGATTGAATTCAGAATATTATTTGGAAGGGTGAAGGAATTCCTGGTATTCAAATCCATGGGGGATTTTGCTGAATCATGTTATGTGTTGAACTCAACTCAAAGTTAATAACTAGTAATTTTTGGACAGGTTTGCATTTGGATATACATCGGGGTGGATGACAACAGCCTGGTGGAATTCATTGGAAAAATTTTCATTGCAGGTTAGTCTTTGTATCCTCATTTCCTGTGTACAAAAGGTCAGGTTTTGTAGATTGGATCTAGAAGATAATTTTATCAGTACTAATAATTTTTTTTCCCTTTCTAACCACTGCTTCCTTTTTTTCATTTTCTCAGTGGTGTCGTTCATAGCTGCAGTAGGCTTCTTGATATATGGTGGAAGGTGAGTATCTGCTTCATGTCTGGTGGACATATTATTCAATGCATCGAGATTTTGTATAATCTTTGATTATTTATTTATTTATTTATTTTTTGATTCTTCTCTTGTATGGAAATCTTTAGATTATTTTTCATGCTTAGACGTTTTCCGATTGAATCTAAAGGGAGAAGGAAGAAACTTCATGAGGTATGTGTCCAATTTATTAGTCCTCTATCATGATATAACCGCAAATGCCATTTTCTTCCTATTATATGAAGAAAGTTGAGTTATTTATGAAGATCTCTTTCTTCCATACCTGTATGTGATATTCTGGTAACTGATAATGTGAATTTTATAATTTATAAAAACAAATTGTCTGGTCAAATTCCATTGACTTTTCTGTGGAAATTTGTTACCGAGATACCATGATTACAAGGGCGCAATAGGCTAAGAAGACTACTTGGTTTCTGCAACGTGTGCAACTTATTATTTATACATTAAACTTGAGCTGATTTTTAGGAAAATATGATTGTTTTAAGCTTCAGATCTATCATATATATAAAAATCTATGTTCTCCACATCCCAAGCTGTTTCCCAGGTTGTGGGATTTGTATATTAAAATTTGACATAAATGACGATAATAGAAAAAGTAAACTCCTTCAATCGTAAAGCAGGATTCATGATGTTATTTGCAGGCTTATAAACCATAATTTGTGGGTTTTCATGTATATTAAGGATCCATTTAATCATGCTTATCTTTTAAAAATAATTGCAGGTTGGATCTGTAACCGCCATATGCTTCACCTGCTTCCTCATTCGATGCTTTGTGGTATGGTTCCATATCGTCCTTCTAGTAATGAAAGCCCGTCCTCTTTTGGGAATGCTAATTAAGCATAGGGTGTTATAAATGGATTGAATTCTGTGGTTGAAGAAACAAAACTTTTCTGACAATGCATGGAATTCACAAGGTTTTTTTTGTTTTTTTTTTTAACTGTTGAGTGCAGGTTGCTTTATCCGCTTTTGATGCAAATGCATCACTTGACGTTTTAGAACACCCCCTTCTGAATTTCATCTACTACTCGGTACTTCGCTTTACTAGGCTTGTTCGTGCTTCGTATTTCTGTTTTCGATATAATCCGCTTACTCTAGGCTGATATAAACCATTTTATTGAACTTACAGTTGGTCGAAATTCTGCCTTCAGCATTAGTTCTTTACATATTACGCAAATTGCCTCCTAAGAGAATATCAGCTCAATACCACCCCATTCGCTAGTTAATATGCATGTTTCATTCTGAACACGTCCGCCCCTCCTTGGGTCTAATGTATGAAGAGGTGGGTCTAATGTGGTATTCTGCTGTAGCATGTGAGGTCAAAGAAAGACCAAGCTGTTTGCTGCTGGCTGAGAGATATTATGTAGCTCTTCCCCCGGTGTTGTTTGATTAGAACAACTCATTCTATTTGATCTAAATGTGCAAAATTAGATTTCTGTAAGGTGAAGCATTGTGTTTTGATCTTGTATCCAAGTGTCGAGGAATCAGAGAACCGCTTGTAATTTATTTTTGCTTGTTGATGTTCTTGTTTGTGATTTTGTTAAGTATTTGTAAAGAAGTGATGAAGTAGATTGATTTGCGAACACGATTGACAGTGTCATAGAAGTCCTAAATAACAACAAAAATTTTAAAAATACAAACAGATGGCCGAGGGGGTCGGAGACCGGGAAGCTTTCTCCTTAATTAATGTCTTCGTCTCATATTTGAATCATCATCCTTGTGAAAATTTTCATTTATTTTTACAGAGCTTGGAATGAAAATTCTCATAGAAAATTTTCTGTCTCATATGCAATATCAAGAGTATAAATACTTCAGAATTTAGCAGTCTCCTCATCTTACACCATTTTATGTCTCAATTTTTGCATAATATTTTATTAGACTTATACTCCTTTGAAACGTTTACGTAAGATCAAAAATAATATTACAACTAAGGATTTTTTTCAATTAAAAAAATACTAAAATATAATAAACTTCCAACACAATTTTAAAGATTAAAAATAGAGATTGATATTTATAAAATAAATAAATTAAAAATATATTAAAAATTACAATTTATTGTTTATTATTTTGCATTACAAAAGCTCACTCTTTAACCACTCTTCAAAAAAGTTTTAAATAAATATAAATTTAAAAAGATTATAAAAGGGGAAAAAAAAAAAAAAAAGCAAAATTTTTGTTAAGTTATTTTAGACTTTCTCTGTTTCTCCCTCGCATTTTGAAATTCAAACACACGAACAGTGTGGAGGAGCTTCAACTCCAACTGCGTTCTCCTTCTCAAGCAATTCCTCCCTGAAAGACCAAGAAATCTTCAGTTTCAAACCGGAGTTGCAGAGAATCAAGTCAAGCAGCCATGGAAGGAGAAGAACTACCTTGTCCCTCTCCTTCACCTTTTAAACCTCCTCCCTCTTCCATTTTCAAAGACATCTCAAACTTCAAAACCCCCAAGCGCCAATCCCGCATTTCCAATCTTCAATCTCCATGCCAACATTTCTTTACTGCTTCTAAGAGAACTCCTCTCGCTTCTTCGTCAATTCGCCGTCCGCGCCCTTCTTTGGTGCCTTCCTCGTCCGCTGCTCGGTCCAAGGCCTCCCGTAAACTCAAGGCGTTTGAGCTTGAGCAATCGCAGTCATCTCGCAAGGCTCAGGTGAAGAAGGAACAATCTCTGAAGTCTTTAGCTAATTCTCTCACGGTTTGGCTTAATTTCTTGTTTGAGAACCCGAGATCTTGTGGATGCGATGGACCTATGGGCGACAATGGACGCAGCACTGGACCGAGGGGGAAGGGAAAGAGAGATTGCAATCGTCGTGCTGCTGTGGGAGTTGATATGGCATGGCGATGCCCGAAGAGGCAGAGAGACTTGTCGTGGGGCTCTCCAAGTGGCGATGTCGCCGAGAACGAAGTTGAGTTTTCGAATTCGAGGTATGTGAAGTTGAGGGAGTCGTTGAAAGATGTATGTAGCTTTGATGATTTGACGCAACGAATGCGGGTTTACTTGAGCTCGAATAATTGCAAGGATACTCTGGACATCATGGCTCAAGTGACTAAGGTTCGGTTTCAATTACATCCCTTCCCATTATATTTCTCCCTTTCTTTGGCTTGGCTGCAACAATTAGCGATTAGAGGAACTTTCTCACCTTTTTGAGCTCGATTAATTTCTTTCCCAAATTTAGAATATACTCGTACCGTGTTCTGTTCGTTACAACTTTCAGTGATAATAATCCTAATTCTTGCCACAAATGCGGCAATACCGTAATCACAATCAAGATGTGGCTTGTGATGTGATAAACTTGAACCTTATGTTGCCTTTCAATGCTTGACCAAGATTATTATAGTCTGTCTCTTATACGCTATCAATAAAGCATGGGTTCTTCATTATTCTTACATGGGTTCTTCAGTAATCTTATCGTTATTTCTAATATATTTAATCTGCTCTGTTTCTCAGAATATTGATGACGGAAGGTTAAAAATGAAGGCTCATTGCCCCATTGTAACTGACGTTGGACTGAAGGAGAGCACCACAAGAATCCTTATGTCTTACAACCCAATTTGGCTTCACATTGGATTGTACATCATATTTGGTGGTGATTCTTTGCTGTCCACTGAAGATGTGAACTCTGAACAAGATAATGCATTTCTGAAAATGGTACTGGGGAAGCAGTTTTTTTCTCATTCTGGTCTGGCGAAGACATATTCTTATAACCGGATGGTTGAGGGTTTATATAGACCGGGATATTATGAAGCCTTGGGTAATATTATTCTGAAAAGATTTTTATTGCTAGTTCTTATTCTTGATAAAGCCAAGTGCCAGAGCAGTCTTCCTCTTGAGTATGGTATCGATGGCGTGGATGGGGGTTCTCCTTTGCTGTTCATCGCGCAATCTGTCATCAAATCAAGTCGTCAAATGATTAATGGTAATTAATACTTGCTCCACCCATTTTCTGCGGATAATCTGTAAGTTTAAAAGTTTATAACCTAATTTTTTTTCTCTTGGTGCAATTAGATTTCCTATCATCAAATGTAATGCATGGAGAAGGTAATCTGGTAGCACATTTGGTGATTATGGGGTACAAAGTATCTTACACTCAGGTAGTTGTTCTATATAACATGATCGGATGATCATTTTAACCTGAATCTGTATGCCCGTGACCACAAACATCAATAGTTGTTGTAGGAAATTGAAAATCACTAATTCAATAATGTCTACCCTTATTGACTGACTTGGTTTAAATTGTTTATGGCCCTGCAGTTGCCCATTTCTGATTACGACTTCAAAATTACCAATTTATTTGTGGACATCCAAGATGGAGTCCGACTTTGCAGAGCCATTCAACTTTTGCTTAATGACTATTCGATTTTGACGGTAGTGTCATTTTTCATTCATGAAAATACAGCTTTTAATAACTGTTTTCCCCCCTATTTTTAATTTTGTCCTAATTCTGCTGTCAGAAAATTGTAGTTCCATCAGATACTCATAAGAAGAACTTGACGAACTGTGGTAAGGCTATACAGTATCTTAAGCAGGCCGGCGTAGCATTACGCGATGAGGATGGAATGATAATTGTGGAAGATGATATTGCTAACGGAGATAAGGAAATGATCCTTTCTTTGCTCTCTAACATGTTTGTTCATCTTCAGGTACTCTAAAGTCCTCCTTTTTCTCTTTCTTGCTTTTTTCATAACAATCGCTCAACTTGTCTGTGTAACGTCTAATTGATTGTCAATGAGATGTAGCTCTCAAGTCCAAAAGTCATATAACTTACTTTTTTTCTGTGTAAAAAATGCAGTTACCTCTTATAGTCAACAAAAACCTTCTAGTTGAAGAAGTCTGCAAGATTCGTGGGGTGGTCAGTATTATCCTTCCTCTTTGTTAGACTTTTAAAGGCCTCTTCACTCTCACTACAATCGTTGGTCCATTACTTTGTTACTATTTAACGTTCAATTTTATAATGTTTTCTTTATTAGATTTTTTTTTTTTAAAAAAAAAACGAATTTGATTCACATATACTTAATTTTTTTCCATCCAACAGGAAAAATCTGAAATTGTTAACTCCACACCCTTGGAAGTTCTTTTGAATTGGATCCAGGTACTGCTTTCAGTCCCGTCCTCTTTCGGCTTTCATTAAATTAGAACTACAACAAGGATCATAGTGGTGCATGTATTCCCCTTTATGTAAACGCAAGCCATGTTCTACCGTTTTGCGGGGAAACATATAATGATTTTGCTCATGCATTTACCCAGATCAACTATAGGAATCTATAATCATGCTTTTCCTACCATTTTCTCACATTGAGTTTCTTTATGTTTTTAACCATTCCAATTTTCAAGATAATTTCACGTGTATCTGTTGTGAAAGGTATTAGCAATTAGAAAGTTGTGGAAACATACATTACGACGCGTATTTTATTAATATGAGAATAATTTTACTGCTATACATGATTTCATTTCTTTAGATTGGGGTTATAAAGATTTAGTATAGGGGAAAGCAGTTTACAAACTCCTTTCATTTTACTTTTATTCATTGCTCACTGTTTCAAACTTCAAATATATGAATTTATGAAGAGGTTTTAGCTGAAAGGTTATTGAGTTGAGGAAGCCTTCTCCTCTAGGTGCGTTTTCAACCTGTTTCAATTTCATAAAGATTTAGTCAATTTCATTGACCCTTTCTCCTTGCAATTGTTAAAATATGTCGTTCCAGAAACCTATTTCTTCTGATTAAACTTGGAAAGTCTATTACTTCAGGTGGTCTGCGAGAACTATGATATAAAGATTAGCAGCTTTTCTTCTTTGGTCAATGGAAAAGCAATCTGGTGCCTACTTGATTACTACTTCCGTAAAGATCTTCACTGTTCTAGCTCTCCAAAGGTTGTGCATCCATCTAGTTACAACATCCAACTTGATTACTTCTTGATAAGTGTTGAACTCACTCCACTAATTTATGGATGGCCTTGCTTGTGCCTTACCTTGATGTATCCATCTAGATACAGGATCCTCAGAAGATGAATGGTGAGGAATCGATCATGTCTGTCACTCATTGTTCAGACTCGGCACATAATTTAATATTACTGCAAAAATTGACATCACTGTTGGGAGATTTTCCTGAGGTTAGTGTTTGACAAATGCATTCAATATTTTTTTAAGCGTGAATCTCAAGTAAGGTACAATGTACTTCAAGGACTTAAGTTCAAGATGTTAAAGAGTGCCTTTTATGGCGAGACATCATAAACAAATTAAAGATTGTATATATTAACATTATTTTATTGTAAAGCATCAGACAATGGAAAAGTAAATAAATGAGGCTTTATTAAAGAGATTGTTTAGAGATATAGGCATCCAAGCAACTTCCTATCTTTTTAAAAAATAAGATAATAAAAAAAAAGTTGTGATATGTTCCTTACCGAGGGCGTGTTTTATAATGCCATCTTGTGCACGAGAAATTATTCGAGGAGGCTGAAATAATATGGCTAACATGTTGGATGTGGGACTAATATGGTCTACACTATGCATCAAGGGTTTTATAAGGGAAAATATTTTGTTGTGCAGCGTGTCCCTCTTACATTAAGGGACATATTGATATGTAGAT